ATTGTAACAGTGAGGAGCTGTTTTTCAACTGTTGGGGCTCTGGGATGCTGAAAACAGCAAATCTCTGAAATGTAGCCTAGAAGATGATAGGGATATGTTTAAGTTAGGGTGCAGAGTCACTTGGAAAATAGTCCAAGTGCCTCTGGAAAGTAAATTTACAAGTATAGTCCCTTTATTGGGCTGGACAGTACACCCTCAAGAGAGAAAGGAGAACAGAGAAGGTTTGCTGTTGTTGTTGTTTGTTTGTTTTTTCTAAATAGAGATCAACCGTAGACTAACAGGATTGTGTTCAGAGCAGAGATGTTTGCACAGTCATGGAAAAACATGTGTTTTTTATCAGGGTTAAAGCTTCCCTCCTACTTACGTTTCTTAATTAGTTCTTTTACTGTAGAGAGTGAGAATCTGGAAAACACACTTCTTCCTGGGCAGAACTTTGATAGTTGCTTTCCCCTGCTTCTCCCCTCACCTTATGTGATGGATTGCATACCAGCAGTCATTGCTGTCTGGACCCTTTCAGAAACAAAAGAACTCCATGAGTCTTCTGTGGGCATCTTCAAGTGGAAGCTGACCTCTGTGATTTAGTTGGTATTGACTGCTTTGTTTCTCCCTGAAGAGCTATGAATAATATTGGTGTTGAAGAACACAATTTGATAAGACCTTCTTGAGATCCACTATATAGTTCGGTTTTCTCTGAGGTAATGACATAGGGTTACAACGTCTAACTTGCGTAGGCTGTAGTCGACCAAATCAAATACAGTTGTGCACAGAATCTTAGAGAGTATGTCCTACATTAGTGTCTGCCTGCTATAATGTTTGCAAAAAAGTAGTATGCGTATGAGGTATTTGTATATGAATCTATAATCAGCTAGGTTCCATGTAACGTTGTTGTGGTTTAACCCCAGCCGGCAACTAAGCACCACACAGCCGCTCTCTCACTCCCCCAGGTGGGATGGGGGATAGAATCGAAAGGGTAAAAGTGAGAAAACTCGTGGGTTGAGATAAAGACAGTTTAATAGGGAAAGCAAAAGCTGCGCACGCAAGCAAAGCAAAACAGGGAATTCATTCACTACTTCCCATTGGCAGGCAGGTGTTCAGCCATCTCCAGGAAAGCAGGGCTCCATCACATGTAACGTTTACTTGGGAAGACAAACGCCATCACTCTGAATGTCCCCCCTTCCTTCTTCTTTGCCCAGCCTTATATGCTGAGCATGACATCATATGGTATGGAATAGCCCATTGGCCAGTTTGGGCCAGCCGACCCGGCCACGCTCCCTCCCAGCCCCCCGCACGCCTGGCAGGACATGGGAAGATGAAAAGTCCTTGACTAGCGTAAACATTACTTAGCAACAACTAAAACATCAGTGTGTTATCAGCGTTCTCATACTACATCCAAAATACAGCACTATACCAGTTAATAGGAAGAAAATCAACTCCATCCCAGCTGAAACCAGGACAAATGTGTAAAAGTGCAAATTGCTCATCCTATTTCTTGCCCGCCTCTCTGTCCACCAGTTGAGCTCTGCCTGCTTGCATCATGTCTCCTTGTGAGCTTTGTGCAAATGTATGTGTGAAACAGACTGTGCTTCGTGCTGAAAGTTGGTTGTTTGCCTCCTCTGTTGAGGAAGATGGGCACCAAGCTGGGTAGAAGGAAGGAAAGGATTATTCTGTTTGTAGTCTGCTTTCTTAGTGATGGAGTGAAAATGTCATGAAAACTATACAGCAAGGTACAGATTCACGAAGGGAGACGAAAGAGAGGAGGATGCTTCTGCATTACCTTACATGATCATATAATAGTGCTGTTCCCTCTCCTCCATGAGGTCAGGACGGCATTCACCCTGGTACAGCTCTGTGTTCTTCAGTGTTTCTTAACTAGTGCCTGTTTGCTGGGTACATTTTCACTGGGTAAAGCAAGAATTCCTCAGCATACCTGTCTGACAGGTCTCTAAAAAGCAAAACTTCCTTCCCTCTTCTGTCTTTCCCATGTGGGCTTTTAGTTCAGGACCAAAGATGAGGGATTAATTACTAGCTGGTTACAGTGGAGAAGATGAACAACCAAACATAGCTGGAATTGGCGTTTACTTGAGCTTGAAAACGCAGAGGTAGTGTGAAAAGGCTCCTTGCAACAAAGCTTGGAGTGCACTCTGTTTAGTTCACTGCTTGCCTTGTGCATTTATGCTATGGTCTGTGTTGTGACTGATCTCCTGAAGCTTTCAGACCTCTTACATGCCTTCATTTGTTTATTATAGGAATAGGAGTTTATAGTAATGCTGTTTATACTAAAGATGGGTGAACCACTACTGCAATAAGAGAAACCATCGTGAACCTTTGCCCTGAACTCAAACCAAACTCTTTTGCGATTTTTAAAGTTCTTTTTCAGTTTTCAGTGTCCTGTACTTTGTTCTGTCAGGACTGCAAATGAGTGCCAAAATATAAATGGTATTTCCAGTGTCAACCTCAGATTTCACAAGCAAATCTGCTCTCATGCCAGGGAGTGTGGAGTTTCTTAGACCTCACAAGTTTCGGTAGCGAGTATAACCTTTCCAACTCCCGCTGCTTAGTGCACCTACCTCAAAGCGCTTATCCAGTGAGGTTTGCCCATCGCTATTTCATATGGGACAAGATACTGTCGTATGCCTATGGGACAAGATACTGTTTATTGAACTAATAAGCATTCCTAGGGGAATGTGTGCAGATGATTGCTTGCAGATGAAATACTGAAACAAAGTGCAGTGTAGCTGCATTTCCCTGCTATTGAAGCAAGAGTGTAGTGACTGTCCAGCTTTGGCCTCCTTCCTGCTAAATGTGTTGCAAGCCTGTTAGCTGATTCTTCTGTGAAATTATAGTGGAGCTGCCCAGTGCAGAATAAGAAAGTAAACTCTCTTTTAGGCTCTATCAGTTTTGTTTTGAGAACAAAATGTGACTAATGTGTTTCTGGAACCTGAGTTTCTCTAAATTTATTTGCTGTCCTGTAGGCTTTTCTGTTTCATGTTCCAGGCTTGGATCCAGTGTTGAGCTATCCATCTAGCAGAGTCTGATAGATTAGTAGGGCCAGTCTTGGGAGTAATCAATTCAGGTTATGCCTGTTTTCTTCCTTTCTGCTCCTGAGGAGGAACAGTTTTCCTTTCCTCTCTCTCTCTGTTTATTGTTGTATCAGAGAATGATCTGATGTTTGTTTTAACACCGAGATGAAGCTGAATTCACTGCTGTCCAGTGCTCTTTAAAGTTGGTGTGCTACTTGAATATTTATATCATGCTGACATTTGCTTACTTTAGAGAAGGCTTTATTTCCTTGGAGTATTTATCATAGTATCCAGGAATTTCCATGTTGAACTGCTGCTGGATCTGAATATTGTGTATAATTACCTGGGTTCAAGCCCAGTTGCCTAAGGGCAGTTAACTTCCATGGAACAGCAGCTAGCTCTGTGGCATTAGCTAGCTGAAGGAAGAGCTGGCAAGGATTTTTCCTGGACTGATGTGGAGCAGCCTGGAAAGAAGATGCCTCACAACACCTCACTTCAGCTATATAGGTAGCTTTGTCTAGCTCATTATGGTAAAAGTGCAGAGTCCTTTCCCTGCGTACCTGGCATTATGGATGGGGTGCCTATATCTGATGTGATCTGTTGACCTAGTTATGGTCTGGGATGGAAAATAAGATTTGACATTTTTTACATCCTGTTTTTTCCCCTTGATTTCCACCAGTCCCCTTCCCGAAGATTAATGGGGGAGGGTTGGTACAGAATCCAGTTCCTGCCTTCCTTTGATGCTCTGACCCTCTTTGTGCATAGAATAGAAATGACCAGCTTGAGGCTTGATCAGATCTCAGCCTCCTGTTGTTTCCCATCAGCTTATATGACTCTCTTGGGCTTCTAGGGCTAGAGCTGCTCTTTTGCTGCTGTGCATAAAGAGGCACCATGATTTATGAATCAATTAATCACTGCATGCTGAGGAGCTGTTCACGGTAGTTAAACAGTGAAAATAAAATGCGTGAGTATGTAATAAAGACGGATCATAATGAATATGACCCTCTACCAATGAATTCTCTCCCTCCCTATATTACACCCCCTACCCATTCTTTCCCAGCACAGCCAAACTATCAAGACATGAAATTTGTCTATCTTGGATAGCATGGGGGGTTCATCAAATTACTTGATAAGGGTGGTGTCTATTTGTGTGATTTCCACCTACACACACACACTCTTCCAGTCTGATTTCAGTTTGCTGCTAAAGCTGATAAAGCCACAAAGATGAAGGGGGGGGAGGGGAGATTTTGATACTGCTGACTGTAAATCTTTTTGAGCAGTCATAAGAAAATCCACTAATAAGTCTCCAAAACTTAAGGAGGGGAAGGTGAGGTCTGCCCTGCCTGGTCTGTAAAACCACAAAAATGTGGTGTGAAATTTCCAAGAAATATTTCCATCACATAGCTGTCAATTGTTTGTTCTGTGTAACACACACATCATTGCTGTGCGTTTCTAAAACTGCATGATACTGTAAGAACTAGGCAAGTTTGGTAATTAGTCCCTGCTAAGACTGCTGTTTGGCTTCACAGCTTACTGAAGCACTTTGCAATTTAGGCCAGCATTCAATGACTGTTGTCAGATCAGGGTGGCATATTGCTCTGTGGAGAGCACCACTGACATTCAAAGATCTACCTGTGAAGTAAGGATGTAAGGCAAGAGGTTTTTAAACCTGATCACATGGTGTGCACCAAAACTATGCTTTCCATGAAGAACTTTATTCATTACAAATTATTGACCCTGTACATGTTCTATTTTCTAAATAAAATTACTGTTTTATTTTACATTATCAGTAGATACACAAAATAGTGGTAGAACATTTCATTAACAGAAAAGGTTTTTTCCTGGCTGAAATGTGTATTCTTGGTAAATGAAATGCTGAAAAGCTCTTGAAAACTTTATTAAATATCCATCTGTTTTGAATTCTGAAAAGGCTTTTGGGAGAATGATGGTACTTCTGTTTTTTTCATTTTTTCTTTATAGGCAGGCTTTGAAATTTTGGATTTTTATTGCAGAGTATTTCCTGGATTTTCTGAGTACCAAAAGCTGGTATTGATGAGTAGATGGATTTGTGAACCTTGCTACAAGCCCACTGGTTTTAGTGGAGTTGCTCTTGATCTCACCTGTGTAACTAAGAGTAGATTTCATTCAAGCCAGAAATTAGGTGCAGTGGTGTGAAGCAGGTTAATGCATTCTCTCTGCCATGCATTGAAGCTTGCAGTGGAATTATAATATTTGCCATTTATCAGTAAAAGAATTTTTTCTTTCCAACACAGTCTAGTTTCTCATTTTTGTTCAGCTCTGCTGCTGGCATATGTTGACTGTATCTAATGGCCTTTGTTTGCATTCTAAGCTTATCTCATAAATTGGCTTTTGAAATGCACAATCAGCAGTAATAACGTTTCACTGTGGTGACCATGGTTAAACATTTCTCTCCTGTTCCCCCCATCCCTTCTCTATTTGATTTTTAGGACCCAGGTTTCTCTTCGGTGATTCATGACAAACTCCAAGTTCCCAATACCATTCGTAAGGCATGGAATGAGAAGGACAACAGATGTGATGTTTGTGCCACACACCTGAACCAGTTGAAGCAAGAGGCCATTCAGATGGTGCTGACCTTAGAGCAGGCTGCCAACTCAGAACAGTACGATGCCTCTCCAGGCTCTCCCCCACCTCTTTCCAATATCCCCACGCTGGTGAGTCCCCGGCACATGGGCAGCCTGCAGCCCAGGGACTGGGCATACATGCCTGCTCCTTATGCTACATCTAATTATACAGGCTTTGTTGCCAACAAACACAGTGGAAAACCCAACAGTCTAGGAATTGTCAATGGGGTGGAGAAGAAAAATGGCTCTCCTGGACACCAAGCCAAGGTCAGCTTTCAAATGGCCACCAGCCCCAGCAACGGTAACGTTCTCAACTCTGTGGCTATCCAGGCTCATCAGTATCTTGATGGCACCTGGTCTTTGTCAAGAACGAATGGCGTCACTCTATATCCCTACCAAGTAAGTATATTAAAATAACAAAACATGTTCATTTTCTTCCCATCAAAGTTTGCATTGGCATGCTAACACTGCTTGCTCCTCTTGGGGAGAAGTAGAGCCATTCACATAGGGAGCGCCAGAACAAGGAGTGCTATAAATTCCGTTTTCCCTGATAGGGGATTGAGCTGGGGAAAACACAGATTACAACCAGCATTAATTAGAACACCTTTTATTAATTCAGCTGCTCTATTAATAATAGAACCAAACTGTTGTTTTTGATAGCAGATAACTGTTCACACTATATATGCAATTATTCCCTTGCATGGTTCACACTCACTCTTGCTCATAATAGTTGGTTGGAGCAACAGCTGGGAGGCCAACCATGCCTGTTTACTCACAAGTGGAAAGCATCACTGGTGCACCAGTGACTTCTGGGTGAGTGTTCAGGAAGTACACAGAGGGTCCTTTGGTTCATCATGTGTGCATATGATCCTATAGTCTTTGTCTAATTATAGGAGGCATTACCTTCGTTGATGTGTTCTGTTACATACATTCTTATCGATGCTAATGTGTGCTGGTGGCCTTCTGCAGATTCGGCTGATTCTTAGTGTTTTGGTTTTTATCGGTTCTCATGGATTCAGCAGGTCCACTAGTCTCCAGAGCTTAGCAGTTCTGGGGAGATTTTCACGTACTTCTTAGCATGTTCTTTTCTTCCTCTTCGGCCTGCTGTTTTCTGGTACACCACACCCATAAATACCTGTAGAATCCATCCACACCAGCTTGCACAGAAGGGGCTTTTATGACAGGAGGCAGGCTTTCTGAGGCACTTAGCTGCAGGTGGTGGAATTTTCCGAGTGCCCAAGCACTGGCAGATTGCAACACAAGCCTATTCTTTTGAGTTCTCCCAGCCATCCCTGCTGGCTTCCTTAGGCACATAAATATGTTTGGAAGTTGGTCTTTCTACTGAGTTATGAACAGATTGCAAGACAGATCCCTAAATTAATATTTAACATTTATCAGTATGAGAGCAATTGACATTGCAGCCAGAAAAAAGCAATGGTATTCATAAACATTAAGATATTGTCATGCACCAAAGAAGACTTGGTAAAACCAGAAGTGAACTTACAGTTATTTTATCTGGAAAATATGTGACTTTATAGTTTTGTGGATCTATGCTCTAATGAACCTGAATCACATTTGAGCAGGTCAGTATGTGATCATAGTTTGATCTAAGAAAAAAAAATCTGATCTAAGTTTGATCTAAGAAAAAAGCCTAAACAAAGAATGCACATTAAGAAAACCGAATAATTATTACTTGTATTAGGAAAATTAGTTCAGTTTTATTGCATTCACAATCTTTTAGGTTCATCTTCTATGAAAATGTGTTTTGTTTACTTTTTAATAATGGTTCATTTTGTCTTAAAATTATTCACTAAGGAGAATCTAATATTCAAAACTTTCCAGACTGATCCTGTAATTTGGCTCTAGTTAGATTAAGGGCTGTTCCCTACCATTTCCCTCTCCTTTCAATAACCTTGAAATAGAAAAGTGAAAAGATAGCACCTGGAGTCTGGTAGCAGATTCGCCGCCCCCAAGAAGTATTCCTACTGTTGTAAGTTCAAGGATGTTGCTCCTTTCCTAGGATCTTCCCCTCCAGACTGCCTAAAATTAGAACGCTATTATGGAGAATGAATGACAACTTTTGTTTCGATTCTGGCAGAAAAAAATAAACATAAAAAAATAAAATGAGTGTTGTGATATTGTAGGGCTTAGCTGCTGCAGTAGTGTAGGGCAAGTCTTAAATTACATGCCACTATTCAACTACTTTTGCAGAAAGCATAATTGCTATCAGGAGTAAGTAAAACAAATGTGAATTTATATACTACCAGATTTAGTAATTTATTTTATGTTTACAGCCTGAAAAATAGAAGTAGTAATAATATCTTTAACTGGAGATGCATGTCAGATGTAACAGAACCTTTCTAATAATTTCATGGAGGCATTATGGGAAGTCATCAATGGAGTCTCCTAAGGATAAGTCAGAGAAATAGCTGCTACGAATTGTTTAGGCAAAACTGGTCCCACTGGAGATTAGGAGATGGTGTAGATGACCCCATCAGTCCCCACCGGCCCTGTTTTATGTGATTCCATGTTTAGCCACTCCTTCACTAGACAGAAACAAAGATCTAGTTCCAAAATCCTGTGATATCCCCTAGGCCTGGCTCACAAATGAACAGCCGATGCTGTTTTCTGTAAGGGGCTGAATCAAATTTTGCTGGTAAGTGGTCCTCTTGCAAAACAGGGAATCAGAGGCAGGGAAAGGGGATTGACTGAGCTTAAATAAAAAGCATGGCCTGTTAAAACCCTCCTACAAACACTGGAATGCTGAAATGGTTACCTGGTTAGAGTAAAAGTGACCCTTTCTGTGGAATACATGTAGGAAAATATCAGCCAAAATTTCAATAGAATTTGATCGAGTGTCTGAAAATTGTGCTCTTTCAGTCATCAGCAGGTAGCATTTGTATTCCCTGGGAATCTGTCATGGTTTAACCCCAGCTGGTAACTAAGCCCCACACAGCTGCTTTCTCACTCCCCCAGGTGGGATGGGGGAGAGAATCAGAAGAGTAAAAGTGAGAAAACTCGTGGGTTGAGATAAAGACAGTTCAAAGGGTAAAGCAAAAGCCGCGCACGCAAGCAAAGCAAAACAAGGAATTCATTCACTACTTCCCATCGGCAGGCAGGTGTTCAGCCATCTCCAGGAAAGCAGGGCTCCATCACGTGTAACGGTTGCTCAGGAAGACAAACGCCATCACTCCGAACGTCCCCCCTTCCTTCTTTTTCCCCCAGCTTTATATGCTGAGCATGGCGTCATATGGTATGGAATATCCCTTTGGTCAGTTGGGGTCAGCTGTCCCGGCTGTGTCCCCTCCCAGCTCCTTGTGCACCCCCAGCCTGCTCGCTGGTGGGGTGGGGTGAGAAGCAGAAGAGGCCTTGACTCTGTGTAAGCAGTAACGAAAACATCCCTGTGTTATCAACACTGTTTTCAGCACAAATCCAAACCAGCCCCATACTAGCTACTATGAAGAAAATTAACTCTATCCCAGCCAAAACCAGCACAGGATCAGACCTTGTTTTAACACTTGTAAAGGCTTCTGTTGATCTCCCTATCACTCGAAGGGATTTTAGTCCTTCCCTGCTCAGAGAAAACTCATTTAAATTGGTGAGGTTTTACCTGAGAAGAGCTGTGATTATTTGTGCAGCTGCTAATGTGAATTACAGGATACCACAGTGTTAAGTACATTTCTCTTGCTTACTGGTTTTTATGTAACACTTCTAAAGAAAAAGAAACCTTTGAGTCTGGGGTACTAATGTAGGAGCCAAAAGTCCAAATACCTTGATGAAATGTTTGCTTCTTGTAGTTTTTATACAGAATGTGATAATAAATTGAATGCATAACATTTTTATTACTTTATTATCCAAAGCTGCTAAAGTAGCTAAAACAAAAACACCACATTAAAGAATAAGATAGATTAAGATAGATTTGAGTCCTTAGTAGTTCAGACTGATTTAGGGTTTGCTTTCAAAGGGAAAGGAGTTGAAAATAGTGACTAGATTAAGCTGGTTACACTAAATCACTTCTTCTGGAGTAAAAGCGCTCCATTATTTAGAAGTAGTTGTTCGTCTTTAGAATGGGCACCCTCTTTTAACCTAAATTAACTGGATGGTTCTCGCATGTTGGTGTGCCTCTAAACCAAAAGCACGGCATTAACTGCATTGTGGTGTGAGATGCAGAACATAAAACGGTGGGCATTTCCTCGGTCCCCTAGTTACTGCTTTCCTGGATCTGCATAAGAATCTTCCCATGTCTTTAAATAGATTATTTAAAAAGGCAAACAAAAAAAATTTAACACAGCGTGTTTGGTGGATTTGAGTGACAGAAAAGTAAGAAAGAAGCAGAGAACTGGAAAAGGCCAACTGTTCCAGGAACAATGTGGGCCGTGAAAGGGAAGGATGGGTCACAGAAAACATGGCTGTTGATGTGGGTGAACACCTCCTGCTCCAGACCTTGAGGTTATGAAGTTTGATTTTGGTAAGGAAAAAGATGCATCTAAGGATTTGAGTAGGGGTATTATGAACATAACGATACTCAAAGAAAAAGTGTTCCTTTCTCCCCTGCACTTAAAAAGACCCTTTTGACCAAAAGCTTGGAAAATGAGATCTTAAACTACTGAGAGCCTCTTGGCCCCAGGCGTAATGATCTCAAGCCTATTCAGAGAGTTATCAAAGGCTTTGTTTGTGTACAATTCATGAAAGCCTACAATATGTGCTTTCTGTTTCCTCTTTATGTATAATGTGTGTTTAGAAGAACACTGTTCTCTGAGAAAGTACCAGCTTATTCTGGAGTTTTGCAGTGATGAATGATTTGTTTGGAGTTTACTTAGGTCATGGCTGTCTCATAACACATCAGTTCTTTCAGGCACAGGCTTTTAAAAAGAAACTGGTAATGATTAGAGTTGGGCACAAGATGGATAGTACAGATACAAAGCCAACGCCTGTGTGGGGGGTATTCTCATCCAGGATTTTGATTCCAAGCTTTTTTCCCAAGTCTCTGCTGTCCAATTTATTTCTCTTCCACTTGCTGCTGCTTCTGTCGCTTCTTAAAGTGTTCAGCAGTATAAAGCTAAAATGTTAATGATTGCTACAGCAGTGCCAGGGTAATTTAAGTAGCTTCTAAAGCATATAATGCAAGGTACAGAAATCAAGTTACTTGCTCCATCTGTAGACTAACAGGTGTCTTCTGTAATTATTCCATGCTTCTGAGAGCCAGACCTATTTTGCCAAAGCATCTTAGCAACAAAAGAAAAGGAGATTTCTATACTGTCTCTTCTAGTACCATGTTCTTTTGTGACCACACACAATTCAGTACGAGATACCTAGTGCAGGAGGTATTTTGCCTTTATGCAGTTAGGTTTTGGTCCAGAATTTTTTGGATGGCTTATGTTTCAATAGCAGTTCAGTCA